AATTAAAAAGTTTCCTTCCTCCTAATTCTGGATCACATTGGTATCGTTAAAATAGAAACAAACTCACTCTTTTATACATATACTAGTGGCCCGGGGCACGGATTCATGCACATTGAAAGGAAATTAATTAGAAGAAATATTTTAAGATCGCTATTCGCCCTTTCTCTATAACAGACGTGTCAACCAAATTCACGATCGACAATGACAGAGCGAAACACACGGTGCAATTGGCGCCAGCGAGAGCTCTATGTGTATGGTGCATGCGCGAGTCAACTTAGCCTCTTATAGATACAGAACAAACTTGCTTCATTAGACCTGCTTTCTGATGCAGCTAAACTTTTTCCAGCCCAGTGAAGCACCCCAACTTCTCCTTCAGGTAATTGTCAGCAACACAGCAGTAAACATCAACGCAAAGCAGATTATTATTGTAGATCGTGCAGGGAGAACCAAGGGTAAAATATTTAACTGCAGCCGTGTGTGTGATTGACCCATGCCGTTGCCATGGAAACCAATGCTCCGGGGTCCTGCAGTGTTTCCCTTTTTGAAGGACAGGTTGGCTTTCCTAAATTGTTAAGGCTGCAAATCGTGGAAGCTGGGCGATCCATCACTTCTCGGATCCTAGGTCCCTGCAGGTGACGGAGGCAAGGGCTAGCGGGGCTGCCATGAGTCCCCAGGTGCCCGGGAGCTGCCAAAGGCAAAGACGGAAGCTCAGTGAAGCCCAGAGCTCGGCTGGAACCTGAGACCACCTGCCCAGCGGCCCTGTGTACCAGCCGGACACTAATGTGCTGCTCAGAGCTCAGGAGGAGGACTGCAGTGAATGAGGTTTGACCTGTTAGCAAAGGATTTTTAAAATCTCAAATCAGGAGACAGAAACTCGTCAAGTCAGTGCCCACAAACGGCAGCTCTGGGCTGCAGGGGGCGCCTCGGAGCCAGGTCAGTCTGTCCTGGGGAGGATCAAGGAGAATATTGGGACGTCCGGAGCAAGGAGAAACCTGACATGCCATGAAGGGAGTCACCTTCTAAAACCAAAAGATGTAAAAGTAAATGCAAAGGGATAATTACTTTTTAATTTGCTAGATCAACAAATTAAATCTCAGAGCAAACATTTAGAAGAGGGGAGGAAAGTGCATGGGAGCGAGAACTTAGAAAAAGGAGGATGAAGACATGCACAAGGAGGAAGCCTTGTTGGAGTCGTATAATCCCCTTAATCGTCATCAGAAGAGAGAAAGTCTTGTGAGACGTTGAAAACTCGGCCATCTGCAAGGCGAGGCAGGGAACATAGTCGCCAATTAGGCGCGAAAGGCTTGGGTTCTGGGTTGAGCAGGAGAAGCACTGCCCGAGTTGCATTGCATTTCAGACATTCTGCAGAGCAGCAAACAATGTATTCCTCAGCCCTAAGTCCCCACTGTTTCTCATGCATCCTGCAGGTCTGTGGGAAAGGTGAATATGGCTTAATTTTGCCTTTCGGTAAAAAGTCCTTTCTAGTGAAACATTTTTCTGTACAAGGATACATCGTATTAAAGGAAGCTGGAGAGGAAGTGGGACTCTATTCATTTAAGAATGGTTTTCATTTCCTCTTTTCATTAGCTCTGTTGCTTAACATAGCAATGCCTTCTTTACCCACAGGTGTTGAAGAAGAAAGCTGGGAGGCTCAATTTAGAATGCATCTCCTTGAATGCACTTAACAGAAAAATTAAAGCTGTAATAAAGGTTGTGTATTTCAACACGTAGGCTGAGATCCTACTCTTACCCCCTTTCCAAAGCCCAGACTAAATCCCAGGTCACCTATGAAGCCGTCTTCAATCCTAGCAGTCCGAAATGACCGACCCCTTTCCTGACTTCCCTCCTTTATCTGTCTATCCATCTACCCATTTATACTTACACTAGTGGCCCAGTGCATGGATTTGTGCACACTGAAAGGAAATTAATTAGAAGAAATATTTTAATATCGCTATTCGCTCTTTCTCTATAATAGATTGTCAACCACATTCTTGATCGACAGTGACAGATCCAAACACACGCGTACGACTGGCGCCAGCGAGAGCTTTATATGTATCGCGCATGTGCTAGTCAACTTAGCCTTTTATAGATATAGAATAAACTTGCTTAATCAGACCTGCTTTCTGAGTTAGGTAAACTTTTCCAGCCCAGTGAAGCACCCCAACTTCTCTTTCAGGTAATTGTCAGCAACACAGCAGTAAATATCACCACAAGGCAGATTATTATTGTAGATCACGCAGGGAGAACAAAGGGTAAAATATTTAACTGCAGCCGTGTCTGACTATATTCTGTGCAGTGAGAAAACCTGAAGTCATTGTCAAGGTCCACCATTTCTTACTTCTGTTCAGTCGGGTCAAGTTTCTAAACTTTCTAAATCTCCGCTTTCTGGCTAATGCAAAGAAAATAGGATTCCACTGCGTCTCCTATCTGCCTACTCCAGGACTTCTGTGAGGATCAAATGGGAAAACGCTTCACAGACATTTGGTTACAGTGTGAAATGTCTGCACCTGGCTATAAAGCAAGTCGTGTTCCTGGGCTGAAGAAACTGCAAGGAGGCTAGTCCTCGCTAGGGAGAGGAGGCCGGGTGGTGCTACGTGATGTCATTACCTGGCGCCCACAGCGACCGTTTCCGAGCTGGGCTGGGCTGGGGGCTGCATTTTGCACCATGGGGTCTCAGCAGCGTCGGCTGCGATTTGGTGGCTGTCGCTCTGGGGTGGATAGAAACATCAATGATGAGAATCATTGATCAGCTGCCTTCTGCATGCCCCCCACTGGGGATTGAGCCCACAATCTGGGCATGTGTCCTGACCAGGAATCGAACCGTGACCTCCGGTTCATAGGTCGACACTCAACCACCGAGCCACGCAGGCCGGGCTGCCTTTGTGTCTTTGTTTGGACCCCACAGAAACAACCAGATTTCCTCGTCAGTTGAGTTAGTCTTATGAAACCTCCTGACTTTTTACATGTGAAAGTGAGCAGTAGGAATAAGTTAACCATAGCCACTGGCTCTCTGATGCCCTTTTTTCCTTTTAATCCTCACCCAAGGATATGTTTTTACTGATTTAAAGAGAGAGAGAGAGAGAGAGAGAGAGGCAAACATTAATTGGTTGCCTCCTGCACGCGCCCCTACTGGGAATAGAACCTGCAATCTGGGCATGTGCCCTGACCGGAAATTGAACCATGACCTCCTGGTTCATAGGACAACACTCAACCACTGAGCCACACGGCCGGGCCCCAGTTCCCGTTCTTTCCAGAGCTCCATGAAGTTTTCCAACATCGGGGAGTTAGAAATACCAGTGGGAAATAACTAAGCAAAAATAAGTAAATCCTTTCAAGCCAAGTCATGTTTTTCTGAAACATTTTACGGAGACTTAAGTTGTTTTGTGTTCTTCTGTGTTCGTCAGGGCATGTAAACTGTGACTAAGCCTGTGGGCAGAGTTTATTTAAACAAGAAACAGCCCAGCCAGCGTGATCGGTGTTAGAGCGTCGGGCCGTGCGCCGAAGGGGGGGTGCTCAGTTCCTGGTCAGGGACATGCACCTGGGCTGCAGGTTTGATCCCAGCCCGGGTCGGAGCTCATGCAGGAGGCAACCAGTCGATGTGTCTCTCTCACATCTCTCTCTCTCTTCCCTCCTCTCTTCCACACTCTCAGAAAATTAATAGAAAAATATCGCCAGGTGAGGATTAACAAACAAGCAAAGAAAGAAACACACAAGCACACATCTTGCAGGTCCCATCTGCACCACTCCCGCTCCCTGGCGGGTACCAGCCAACACGTGGGAGGGGATGCTGCTGCCGGGTGGCGGGGAGCGTGGTGGGGAGCGTGGTGGGACCGTCCGGGCAGACCTGAAATGGTGGAGGGCTCGCGGAGCGGCATCTGCAGACAGACAGACAGACACCGCGTCTCTGGCCGAGGGGCCTGCTTTCCCTCCACGTAGAACCTTGTGGGAATCTGGAGAGCAGTCAGGAGCGTGTGACACCGATTTAGAAATGAGAGACTTGCCCTGAGGTAGCAATCAGCCCGCAGCTGGGAGCAGCATCAGGGAGAGCCAGGCTCTGTTCCCCGCTCTCCACTTCCCCTGAAGCAGACAGCTTGAAACGTAGCAGTTTAATAATGAAGGGAGCGGGCCACTCCGATGAAGAGAAAATGGCTCATGTGCGATCCTGCTGAAACGCTCCCTTCCCGCTGGGGCCGGGCATCGGCGTCTTCTCGTGACCCGTCCCCTTGGCACCACAGTGACCACTTTACAGCGTCTCTCAGAGCACATGCTCCTGCCAGGCCTCCCAGTGCATCCCCCGCACAACACCAAGCAAATGCCACGGGGCCACCAGAGCCCAGGCCCCCAGCGGCCGCCGCGGCCTCTCCCCGCTGG